TTTTTTTTTTTTTTTTTTTGAGATTATTGTTTATCAATATTATTGTTATTTATAAAAAAAATATCATTAATATAATAAAGAGCCTGTGGAAATATTTATTTTTCAAATTATTGTGTGCAATTTGTTTCCAGATAAAGCAATTCTGACCATTTGTAATTGGTCAGTGGGACCAATATTCCTGGTTAATCTGACCAAATTGTAATGGAACACATACAACGAAAAAGAATTGGTCACAGTTACCAATATATTTTAACCAATAACGGATTGCTAATTCAACCAAAAAAAAAATGGTTATCTGTGATAAAATAAAAATAAAAATAAAAAACTTTTATTTAAGAGTCTAGTCGTTCTAGCGCTTTCGCACTAATTGGGGACACTTTTCACTCACACACACTACCACTACATTCAATATTCTATGCACACAACGCTCAACTCACATGTTGATTTTTATGGAGGAAGGAAACCGGAGAACCCGGAGAAAACCCTCGTAGCATAGGAGAGAACAACACATCAAACAAACTCAATTCACATGTGGCGACCACAGGGCTTGAACCAGCGACCCGACCCGTTGGACTCACAGCGGTGAAAGACGACACCTTAGCCGCGAACGCCACCCATGCATTGAGGTAACAGACAGGGTAAACATTTGATGCGCACTTTTCATTGCAGTTTTCTAGTCAATCTTTCTAGATCTTCCATTATTCTAAAATTCGCTGATAATTTCTCTCAAAACTACGTCAGGATACAAATTAGAACTAATACTACCCAAAATTGCAAGACTATTGAAAGCATTTAAAGCGATCTAAAGCCAACGAGAAATACAGAAAACATTTACTGTTTCCCAACGATTTGATGCCCTGGGAATTCTATTGTTTGCTAATGATCATAACAAATTCTTTCGCACCATGCACAGTCTCATCTCGCTTGGCTGCTTTCCGATTTACTCCCGAAGTTTGGCAATAAACGGGGTTTTCTTTATTCAAACGTGGGACGTTTGTCATGATGTACTTTGTCAGTGTGAGTGAATAGAATCGGCGAACATGCTTCAAATAAAAACTTCAAGAAAGAAGCGAGCCAGACTTCATGTTGTACATATCGTCGTGCTCGCTTGGAGCCTTGGAGCTCGCGGCCACGACTCTTCGTCGTCCTGAAAATTTGATTTTTTTTTCCTTTCTAAAACTGTATATTTGAAACGAAATGACTAATGATAAACAATCAAAAGATAATGTTAAAAAATCGAGGCAAGAAAACGATAATTTGAAAGGGCATCTAGCCGAATTACAAGAAGAACTCAAAAGTGTGAAGAACATACTCGAAGCAAACGCAAACACCAAAGAGCTGCAAAATTCTGTTAATTACTTCAGTGCAGAATATGGTGACTATAAAGCACACATCCTCCTTGGAAAGCGTTGTTAAGACAATCGACGAGAAGCTGTCTCAAGGAAAGTCTACGAAATCGACGAGGCAATTGAATCAATCATGGCGTACAGCTACCAATACAATGTCTAAATTGTAGGTTTGCCTAAAACGAAAGCAGGTGAAACAGCAGCAGAAACGGTTGATTTGTGTGTAAATCTCTTCAATGAGCTGGGTGGAAATATAAGTCAAAACGATATCGACATTGCAAATCGTTTACCAAAGCGAGATGATTCTAAACCTGCGACTGTTGTGTGCAAATTTACTTGACGTGTTGCTAAGAAGCGGTAGTAACGAAGAGAAAAGAAATCACAAACATCGACATACAGAAAGTCATACCAACGTGCAATGAGGATTTCGACAACTCAACAATCGCTATATTCGAATATTGAACTCCTAAAAAACAGGAGTTACTAAAGCAAGCCAAATCCTTTCAAAGGGAATTTAATTATGCGTACTGCTGGGTCAAAAACATCGAAGTCCTATTAAGAGAAACTCACGATAGCAAGATCATAAAGATAAATAATCAGTTCATCTTAGATGGCCTAAAAACCTCTTCATCAAGTCCAATAGCTAGTGGTTGGGGTCTTCCTCCACCTTTATTTAATGGAAGAGGCCGTGGAAGAGGCAGAGGCGGATCGCAAAGCAGTGGCCCAAGAACTAGGTCAACAAATAATCAATTTTAGCTAAGGTAGCACTTATTGGTGCTGTTAATTTCCTCCGGAGGTTTGTACCCGAGTTTGCTAAGATTATGTTTCCACTATACCAGCTACTAAAGAAAGAAGTACCTTGGAGGTGGGGGAAAGTTGAATAGAGCGCTTTTGCTAATATAAAAGCTGCGTTGTGTTCTGACACTGCTCTACGGCATCATGAGCCTAATGCTGAGTTAGTTCTGCAATGTGATGCTTCATCGGTAGGGGTAGGGGCTGTATTGCTTCAGCCAGGCCCCGATAGTGTGTTACTACCTGTGGCTTACGCCTCACGTACTCTGAACAAAGCTGAACAAAATTATTCACAAATTGAACGAGAGTCCTTGACCATAGTTTTTGGAGTTACAAAGTTTCGACTGTACTTGCTGGGAAGACATTTCCGACTGCTAACAGACCACCAACCCCTGATTACTCTCCTAGGGGAACACAAGGCTGTACCGCAGTTGGCTTCAGCAAGAATAAAGAGGTGGTCCCTGCTTTTAGCAGACTATAACTACACCATTGAGTTCATACAGGGGAAGGAAAATGTGCACGCAGATTACTTATCCAGGAGGCTGAACCAGTAACAGTTCAGGTTATGTTCATCGAGGGGGAACAGATAGTTGATGCAGCTGCCGTGGTCAAGGAAACAAAGGAGGATCCAGTCTTAAGCAGGGTACTACATTACACTAAAGATGGATGGCCAAGTAAACCTGAGGTGGACTTTCTACCTTACTACAACAAGAGGCTGGAGCTGACCCATGAGGATGGTGTTCTATTGTGGGATTCCCGTGTCGTCATCCCGTCTGCTTTGCGCCCGCTCTTGCTAGATGATTTACATGCAGAGCATTTTGAAGTCGTCAAAATGTTAGCACGGAGATACATGTGGTGGCCAAGAATGGACCAAGAGATTGAGGATATTGTTAAGTCCTGTGTGGCCTGTCAAGAAACTGCTAAAGCTCCAGCAGCGTCCCAACCTGCAGCTTGGTCTTGGCCTGTGGGGCCATGGAAACGTCTTTATCTGGATTTTGCTGGACCTTTTCTTAACAAGATGTTTTTAGTAATTGTTGATGCATTTTCTAAGTATGTCGATAATGTACCGATGTCACACGCCACTGCTGCCAATACCATTGCAGCTTTGAGGCATACGTTTAGCTATTTTGGTCTGCCTGAACATTTGGTCGCCGATAACGGAAGCCAATTCACAAGTGAGGAACTTCAGAAGTTCCTCAACGATAATGGCATTCAGCACACGACAACGGCGCCAGGACACCCCGCCACTAATGGTTTGGCAGAACGTTATGTGGGGGATTTTAAAGATAAGCTTAACAAGATAGGGGATACCGGAGAACCTCTTCAAACAAAATTGGATCGGTTATTACTCACTTATCGGGCTACGCCCATTTCACTCGGAAAGTCATCCTGTGAGCTGTTAATGAACAGACAACCAAGGTTAAGGTTCAACGCACTCAGAGCCAAGCAAAGTAAACAGGAGATCAAGATATTCCAAGATAACTTGGACAATAAGCCCAAGTTTGCTCAGGACCAACCAGTGTTTGTCAGGGATTATAGGAGAGGAGCTCGATGAGTACCCGCGAAGGTTATCAGAACTATCAGCCCCAGGAACTACGACGTGCAAGTTGGATATATAGTCTGGAAAAGCCACGTGGAACAGTTACGCTCACGGTACGTACCTGCGACTCAATGTACCCAACTGAATTGGGATTTACCGTTGACAGCTCAACGGGATGAAGTTCACCCAGTACCCTCCTCGTTTCATGAAGCCAGGAGGGAGGAAGAAGGAGAACAGAAAACAGAGTATGAAACCGCGCCGACTCAAGTTAACATTCCTGTTCAAGCTGAGGGAGATAATCCTGTACCAAATCAAGCAACGGGAAGTCTTCAGACTGATGTCCCTGTCAGAATGTATCCTATGCGAGAAAGGAGACCTCTACAAAAATTCCAATGAACACTTAAGGGATCTTCAAGGACAATTCCAAAGAGTATATAAACAGTTATCGTAGAATGATAAGTTATACACCGTAGTGAAAATAGTAACTGACGTTTCGGACGTTAGTCCTTCGTCGGAGTCAATAGAAAGTAAGAGTAAGAGARATGTTTATATAGTAGAGGAGAGAGAAAACAAACCAATAAGAAAAAAGCAAGCCATTTAACAAAGGAAAACAAAAGGATCGAAAACAACAATAGGTGGGAAATAACTTAATTATAAG